TTTCGGTTAAACACACACTTGAAGTTATTTATGGTCAAATTTATATTCTAAATTATGGTTATGTACAATTTGGGTTCGAGATTCTGAATAGGTACGCCTAATTCCATGTAAGTACGCCCGTATAGTCTGAATGTAAAGAGTGAATGTTGCTTTCGGCCTACGATCAATGTGATGCATAAAGCTACACCAAATTCAGTAAATCCTGCGTCTATAGATTAATTATCAGAAAAAATCGTTCATGAATTTCAGAAGCGACTGTTACCGTTTCATTATGGTAGCATAGCCGAGGTTGAAAACTAGAATATTGCAGTTTCTTTTAGCAACATTGTTTTTTGATTATTCTAAGAATCATTTTAAACACAAATTAAAATAAGCAAAGACATTTTCTGTTAACAGTCGGTGCAATCTATTGTATTCAGAAAACCACTCACTATTAAACTTAGAAAAAAAATGACCTAGCTTACGCGTGCAATAAGTCGTTTGTGGGGCCAGCCTTCCTCCAATTCATTTGAAGACTTCATTCTGTCAAATATATATGCTCAGCTGTGCTTCCTGTCTACGTTTAATTCATCGAGACCAGAAGCCTTGCCATCAAAAATACAAACGAATTTGTATTTCCGTCAGCCAATCGCTAACGTTTTTTTTAGATCAACACACCAATATATGCTTATAGAACTTGGCTGCTGTGCGTACTTATATCGATAATTTAAGTGTTATATCGATTATATAGGTGTACCTATACGTATAATCGAGTTTTGCTGGTAAGTCACTAGAGTTTAGTCATTATCTTATATCCCGCGCAGTGATTACCGACCGACGCTTGACTAGCGTGCTAATGCAGCAATGCATTCATTTGTTGTGACAGTCCTTGAACGCACAGGAAAGCGTAATGAAATCAAGGCCATAGGTAAAGCTTGTTTATTTTTAATTTGTTTTCTGCGAGCGCCTTCTCTACGTTGAGAAATAAATCGATCAATATGATGCTGTTTTGCGATATCAGTGATAGGAATGAAAAATAAATTGACTTTCTGAATCTCTCCTTTACGACTTACTTATCTTCCTTGTCTCACTTTTCTCACTTGACTCACTTTCCTTCCTAGACTCACTTTTCTCCCTTGACTCATCTTTTAAATTTCTCGTGGAATCATGTCAACTCCTTTGGGTAGCCCAGCCCGTTCGATGGGATTAAGTCAATAAGAAAAGCGGATGTCGGAATGAAGTGAGTCAATATTGCATCATGCCTGACTCGCTTGAAGCAGCAACTGAGTTAAGGTGAATTCGTGAAGTGAGAGTCAGACTATCAGGAAGACCTTCTGTACTTTAGTTTGTTGGGAAGCCTGGATGAGTCATGCTGCATGATTTACTCTTGTTTGTGAGTTTGCTTTGTGGGCGAATGCTGGACTTGCCCTTGGCNCTTGTTTGTGAGTTTACTTTGTGGGCGAATGCTGGATGCGCCCTTGGCAGTCACCCTGAAAAACCTGATGTAACATTATCGGTGTAAAGAATTCATATTTAATTATCGGATATATTACTTCATTAAAAAAATTTTTTATCGACAATTATACATATTTTTATTCATAATTACCAATTTTCTTTCAGGTCTTGAGCATGGCTTCACTTGATGTCGCCTTAGAATAAATTCAAATTAAACCAGAAAATTTTGTTTATAAAATGATCTGAACAAAAATTTTCGAGCTACAATTTGGTTGAAAGACTACCAATATTTACTGGAGGTAGTGCATCCACAGGAAAATTTTGCCATTGGAGTAATCCGCATATTTCTGAAAATTGAACAATCAATATTTGCATCGTCTCAATTGGTAAACTGAAACGATGAAAATGACTATTTAACATTGAAACGATATACGTTAGCCTTCAAATAATTAAAAATTATTTAAATTCCGAAGCACATCGAGAAGTCAAATTGAATTTGATAGACACTTGAGGCAGTCGAATAATATTGTCTTCCGGTTTTATGGCTCTGCGTTACTTACATTAAAACACCTGAATGATAATAAACAACTGTTAAAATTGCTTTCCCAATGAAGTCAAGTATCGTTTGAGACGTCGGTATTTTATTTTGGCAATATCTTGGAAGAAAAGATGAACGCAAGCGCTTGTTAAAAACAGGTTCCCACATATCAACTGAACTTTAGCCTGCAGCAAATGGCTTAATACGAACATTTCCTGCGAGAAGATGAGCCTTCAACGAATCTTACTATTCCTGCGTCGGCGATAATAAATAATAAGTAGATTCAGCAGGATCGATGCTTCCCCAATCAGCAGCGTCAATATAAGTTTTAACCTGAATTTTAAGTCTTCAATGATAAAACTTGTATTTAAAAGACAGGATTTTAAGTTTCAATAGCTAGACTATGATGGATATGATGCCGAAGTTTCGTTGGCGACGAACGATTTTGCAAGGTAAGCTTCAGGGTTGCCTTTCCGAAAATAAAGTCATCATGAACTATCACTGGTTGTATGTTTGAGTTTACATCTAATTTTTTCATTTTATTAATATAAAGGAACAGCTCAATACAGAAGCAACAAACATAGTAATTTCAATAATAATCATAATATCAATAATAGGAATAATGTTAATAGTAAAAAACTATGATTTTAATAATAATAATCATGATTCAGTAGAGTGAAAATTAAAATTAGTTGAAAAAAATGGTCTCATTGAATAAGAGAAGAACATGACTGGATTTCAAGTTATTTTGATGAATTTCGAAATTATGAAAAATCATCTAACTTTTTAGCGCATTTTCTCATTTATGGAAAAAATGCACTATCGTGCTCGCTATGTCCGTCTGCTTGTCCGTCCGTGACTTCATGTTTTCGTCGACTAGAAATTGCGCTCTCCGTCACTCACTGCAGTGAGTACTGAGTTATATTTTTGCTCAATCTTGGCGTATCATTTTAATTTAACTTACGTAAAACTTAAATAAAACGTGAATAATAAAGATTCTACTAATCCTCCGAGTTGATATAAGTCCAGCACTGAAATAAATTCCCTGGAAAAGCGAACTAAACACATTAATTCAATTAAATCTCAAAAAATCTTTCAAGCTTATAAATAAAATTGATCGTACATATAAATCTTAAACAAGGCTTTTATTATCTTAATTACGTAGAGCAGTCTTGCCTGGCTTTACGTAGGGTACGTACGGCTGCACGTCTGGCGGCCCACGCTCGGCCTTGTTTTTTTACAGACATTTTTTAACAAACATTTTTTATTAACATTTTTCCAATGTCACCGACCGGGAATCTCCCGCGGGGAGTCAACTGTTTCTGCTTTAACTACGCAAGTAAATATTAAAAAATATCTTGGCTAGTTTTACCGTTAGTTTCAAGGGTGGATTTTTTTACTGCAATCGTATTCATGAAATCATCTTCAGATAAAGGGAATTCACGAAAAATATAACTCAGTACTCACTGCAGTGAGTGACTGAGAGCGCATTTTCTCGTCGACGAAAACTTGAGGTCACGGACGGACGGACAGACGGACATGGCGGGCACAATAGTGCATTTATTCCATAAATGAGAAAATGCGCTAAAAAGACAACCAAGCAATTTATTTTGAAGAGGTAAAATTAAAACAGGTAGACTTCACGTAATATTGCTAGTAGCTAGAAAAATATTGATAAAATGTCATGAAAAATGTTTTAACCCTTTACGCAGTTTTTTCACGTTTTTTTGATTAGTAAGCAGTGAATAAATTGTGTCGGAAATCAACCAACGTTTAACCAATTATATTAATTTATTGCAGGTAAATCGTTGGTTCCTCCCAATCAATATTCTGATGTCATAGTTTTAACATTTCCATCCAGTGGAAAAGTTAGTGTAAGCCTTATAGCCTATCTGCTTAAATAAGCTTTGAAAATTTTTCTTACAAAACTTGAAAAAGATGAAAATTAGGATTAGTAGCAATTTTTATCAATGCCATTATCGTTAAAAAAATTTTAGTCCTAACTGAGGTAATTAGTTGATGATAAACACCCTTGTTTCAAGTTATTTTCTGGCTAATGAAGTTCTTTTTTTTTATTTTCGGCTGCAATATCTTGCAATTTTTATAGATCTTGCGCACTGATCTATAGAATGCAGGGAATATATACAAAAAATTGTTTATAAATGCAATGTTTGCAAGCCTGTGTTGAATTTATGAGCCTTAACAACTGAGATGGCATTGAACTAATACTCGCTCGGCGCGACCCGAGCGTGCGTTTCATCCTAGACGAGCAATTTTTGTACATGTATTTATAAATACATGTATTTATATAAGTTTAATAAGTACATTTATTTATAAGTATACATGTATATATAAGTATAAGTATAAGTACATGTATTTATAAATATTGCTGAAGAAGGAAATAGTTGGCTGGCAAGAAGTTCCTGGTTCTTAAAGCAACCTGTTGGTTTTAGTAGCCGCCTGATGAACAGTTTTATACTGTTTGAATTGTAAGAATTTTAATATTGGCGCAGGGCAATGGACGCATGCTGAATAATAATTGCACACGAAATTAATAAAAAAGTATTTAGATAATTTAATTAGAAAAATCTTAGATATTCATATGGGCAAACCAAAAATGTATCAATATCCTTACTGTTCAAAGAGATGGTTTAAAGTGACCGAAACACTTAGTTTTCACTGTCTACGATTTATTTATGAATCATATTGCAGATGCCATCGAAAGTTCAGGACATTGAAGCGCCTCGCGGTTCTTTCTTTTTTAAAATTCATTATAGATCAAAGTTAGATACTTAGTTATAGTTTCACTGAGAATTCCCTCAACCCAATTCGAAACAGTCGAGCTCGCACCACATGAAAACAATTTTGGGCAATCATGTATATAATAAAAAAAGCTACCTGTGTTCTGGTACTTCAAACCAGGTAAACAGTATCTCCCTAATTAAATGTAGATCCTAGCGTAACATTTTTTGTGGTACGTGTTCCGTCTAAGGTAAGGTAGAACTTTTCCGGGTATCGTGGTATCTGGAATGGGAAGGCCGTTCAGGGCTATATAAGGGCGCGACGCGGTATACATACCAGCATTGATTAGCTCGCCTCCGAGATCAACGCAACACCGACATGAAGCTTGTAAGTGAGGGCTTCCATTAACAGAATCATTTATATGATAATAATTTTGGAAAGATTATCCTTAATTCTGAGAAATGAAATAATGATGAATTCAAACGATGTTAGGTCTGCTCTCTCTTACCTTCCAATTTTAATTCATGATGCATTAGAAAACAGGTTTTTCACACGATTTAGGTACTTCTGAATTTGCGGTTAACTCTCTGGTTCTTCAAAATTCATCAACTCTCTGGTTGACGAATTTTTGAGAGAGGAAGTAAAAAAATTTGGGATTTTTTCGGATAATTTCGGAATTCATGTGTGATTATTCGTTTTTTTTGTTACATTTTTCTAAATTTCGCTGGTTTCAGACTAAATAAGATACTTCCTGTTTTTTTTTCGTGACTTTTTTTTTAATTTGACTCACAGTGGGTAATTTAGAAGTGATCCATTGTTTAGATTCTACGTATCATTAGTGATGTAAAATTATTTTAGACATGTTTAACCAACAGAATGAATTATTTTCGTTTTATTATGTTATAAAGATAATATATAATCATTATATTTAATTATGTTTAATGCATCTATTTATAAAATTTTTGATACCAAGCACAAACTTCAGCTTGTTAAATATTTCTCGTTCCACTGCGAATTTCATTTTCCCTCGTTACGGATGGATACAAGTGATCTAATTGAATGAATATACCCTTTAGACTAACATGAAATATGTGCATTTGTCATTTGAAATAAGGAAAATTAAAGTTTCCAGCTGATTTTATAGTTTAATTGTCAATGACTTTTTCAAATAAATCCGAATGAATTTACCTTTTATACAAAACATGAAAATAAATATGTACATTTGCCACCTGAAATAAAGAAAATTAAAATTTCCAGCTAATTTTATAGTTGAATTATCAATCACTTTTTCAAAATGAATTTTTCAGACGTCATTCATCCTGCTGCTGTGCCTGGCGCTGGCCCTTGTCTCAGCAGAACCTGAACCTTTCAAGAAATTCAAAAAATTCAAGAAATTCCCAGTATACAGACCAGTACCTGTCGTCTACCGGCCAATCTACCGACCAATCATAAAACCTGTCTACGTACCTGTTGTCAAACCCGTACCTGTTGTTGTTAGCCATGGTTACGGTGGTGGATACGGTGGTGGATACGGGAAAGGATACGGGAAAGGACGGTAAAGTTGGATAACCGAAGAAGATGGGTAAAGCAAGATATACTGAGTACCTATCGGAATGATCTTTATTAAGTATAATAACATCCGTTTCCAGCATGTATCAATGTTCAATGTTCTGCTTCGTGTTAGGTAATAAATTTACCATTTTTTGTCCGTATTTTCGGTGGCCAGTATATAGCTTGAGGTTACGAAAAGATTGAATAAAATTGTTCATCACCATTAATTGAGTTGAGCATCGATTACCATTAACTGTAAGTAACGCAATTATGATAGTCAAGCTGGCATTATTGTCAAGTAACGTTATGAGTTTTTCATTTGAACAAAGAATTGGCAGTTCAATTTGTTCTAAAAATTTGAGACTAGATTTAGATGGTTGGTTTTCAATTAGATTTTTTTAATGAAAACACGGTTGACGTTGTGCACACTTTTTCTTTAGGGCTACCATGTCAGTATAACTTCTGTGAAGTTTTTTCAGCGTCAAAAATATTAGACGTCAACATGAAATGCAGCATGCAGCATATAGTGCAGCATGTCTTGCATGAAAGACTCCATTCGTGAGCATGAAGTGCAGCATGATATGCAGCATGCAGCATGAAGTGCAGCATGACTAACTTTCGTCGAATAAAGTTAAAAGTGCATTATTTACTCTCGTTTTCGAATAAATAAAAAATAGATGGACATTGCATAAGCAATTCCATCTTCCCCAGTGGTTAAGGAAGCACAAAAAATGTGAAATTTTAGGGCGAACCAGTGACCTGGTCAAGTTACACGGCGGTTACCTTGAATGGGTCAGCATATAAGAGAGCGGGCGCCTTCGGACGACAGCACTTCTAGTCCAACCGGTCAACAAAATGAAGTTTGTGAGTGCACAGTGAATAGTATAAGGAATTAGATTGTAATGAAATATCTATGATGAAAACCTCAAGCGGATTGCAATCTTATATATTATGAGAGAAGAATGCATAAGAAACTATGAGCTATAGCCCCACTGCCAATTTGATATCAGATAGGATTACAAGCTGCTTCGTTCTAATATCACTAGTTGTTTTCTTCTAGAACAGAGAATATTTAGTGATTCTACAATTAATAGTCAATCATTTAGTATTCGTGACTCATTAGGTAGTAGTGACTCATTAAGTATTAGTGACTCGTTAGGTAGTAGTGTCTCATTAAGTATAAGTGACTCATTAGGTAGCAGTGACTCCTTAGGAAGTAATGTCTCATTAAGTATCAGTGACTCATTAGGTAGTAGTGTCTCATTAGTAGTAGTGACTCATTAAATATTAGTGACTCATTAGGTAGTAGTGACTCATTAAGTACTAGTGACTCATTAAGTATAAGTGACTCCTTAGGTAGTAGTGCCTCATTAAGTACTAGTGACTCATTAAGTTTTAGTGACTCCTTAGGTAGTAGTGTCTCATTAAGTATTAGTGACTAATTAAGTAGTTGAGTCTCATTGAGTATTCGTTACCAAATAAGTAATAGTGACTCATTTAGTATTGCAGATTCATTAAGTAGCCGTGACACATTAAGCCATAGAGAGTCAATAAGTAGGAGAAGCGAGTTTTTTATGTAGTGCCTCATTTCGACGGCGTATGTGATGTAGCACAAAATTTTATATGAATATCAATTGGTTAGAATTTAACTAAGTCATTATCAGGCAGATATTACAATTTAATCTTTTTTTTTGTTAAATACTAATCTTTCAAACTATAGAGCATCTATTTTTGTGAATTGCTCAACCTTGAACGTGCAAATATATTTATAAGAGTTTCATATTTAGTTTAGAAGCAAACAAAGGAGGTGAAATTTTAAAAATTAATTGCAATATTCCACGTCCAAAAAGTAGTCAAAATCTAAGCCATAATCGGAATGAAACTTTATGGCTTGTAAAAATTTAAACCCCAACTCTTTTTAAAAATATTGCAGATTTAAATTTAATACATATTTATTTTCACATTTTATTAGGCATTTTATATCTATATTGGTAAAATGTATAGTTTTTGTTTCTAATATTATTTTATACATTTGGTTATATTTTTATAAAAGATGCTAGATTTCAGGGTGGTTATGCCTTATTTTCTTTCTGAATTTATTGTAGGCCACCCACTAATGTAAATATAAAATTAAACCCGATTAGTTGTGATATAAAACTTGTGAACCTTATATTATGCTAGTTATTGTGTTTGTAACGTATGCATGTTACATATATTTTCGCTGATAGTGCTTATTTAAATGCGTCATAGATATTATTTACGCTAAACCAGTTAAGCAAATAATGCTTGTTTCTACAAGTAATGCTTGACAAGGATTTAGCTTCCAAAAAAGCATTTCATATTTCTCAATTATCATCGTCATTTATGTCATACGTCATATTATTTAGAAATATTTGCTATATTCTCAACCCTTCATACAAATCACCAATAACAATTTCCCATATCACAAATGTCACACATCAAATTTATCGGTAACTTTGTTATTGCACGTTCCATTTATCTGTCACTCAAGTTTATCGCACTCACGTTTGTCACAGGCAGGGTTTGTTCTACTCGCCCTCGCAGTGTCCTGTGGTGCCACATTCAAGGGAGGTGGAAAGAAAGGTGGATACGGTGGATACAGTGACGAGGTGCTCGTACTGGCAGCTCCACAAGTAGGATATGGAGGAGGATTCCATCACGCAGGATATGGTGGAGGATTCCAGCCGGCAGGATATGGTGGAGGGTTCCAACAAGTAGGATATGGAGGGGGATTGCAGAAAGGAGGATATGGACATGACAGCTTTGAACATATTGACCACAGTGCAATAAGCCATGGAGGTGGATATGGAGGTGGAATTCAACACGTTGGTTTTGATGGAGGTTACCACAAAGGAGGATATGGAGGAGGATACCATCAACCCTTGGCTGTCGCTCCAGTTCAGTTGGTGCACGTGCGTCCAGTTCGAGTTCGACCTGTGCGTGTAAGACCAGTTTATGTCCAGCCAGTCCCCATCCAACCAGTTCATATTCAACCAGCCCCTATACAACCAGTACATGTACAACCAGTACACATCCAGCCCCATTACCAACCACAGTACCAGCAACCAGTGCAGCTGGTGCAGGTGGTAGGAGGTGGTGGTTACGGGTACGGCGGAGGAAAGAAGGGAAAGGGTGGTTATGGTGGTGGTTTCGGGCACGGAGGAGGCAAGGGAAAGGGTGGATATGGTGGTGGTTTCGGCAAAGGAAAAGGGAAGTTTTAATAGAAGAATAGCTCTAAATTAGTTACTGAAATAACTTGTTGATAAAAATATGAGCCTTTATTCCAAAATCAGTTTGTAAAATCAGGAAAACGTTACAAGTTATTATCCTGTACTGATGAAAAACAGAATAAATGGTAAACACGAAGACATGTCTTTCATTCACTTTCGCGCGACTACCAATAAACATTATTCCTGAACTGTCAGTATCCTATCTCACCATTATAAGCAGTTTAGCACTATTTTCGTCACGCAACCGTTTATGAAAATATCATTCATATATAGATAATAGAATCCATTGAAGATTATTTGCTCCTATGCTCGTCTTAGTTATATATCTTCCTGCGCAATGAGTCCACTTACCTAGGAAAAGACAGATGATTATTCGTTTTATGGTTGCCTAAAATTCGGTGGAGGTTTCATATTTGCTGAGACTAATGCAATAAATTTGCACTTTCTCTTGTTTCAACCATGATCTTCACTTAACCGAGTAGAATTCTATCAATAAAAATCAATAAAAGTATCAATGAAAATTCTTCAATAGCCCTCAAACCGAGGTGAGGAAGAAACGTTGATAACTGAATTCATGAAGCGGGGAAGAAACGAAGAGAAAAGTAACAAGTAAAGTATCTTATTCAGGATAAAAATTGTCAGTGTAAATGCGAAAAATGGTTTTGTAACTTGAATTTAATTTTTCAATGAAGTTTGATTTAAAAATTTCATGCTGATGTTTTGCACGTTTTTATAGAACTTTGGTTGTAAAACACTTATATCGTTCTATCTGCACGCGAAAAAAGCAGGCAAAACTTTAACGTATATATTATATTTGACTATCTTCCGCTGGTTGATCTCTATCAATCTATCTCTCTCTATAAGTGCTATAAACTTGAATAATTGACAGCAAACAAAATTTCTGTTAAAAGTGAAACTATACATAAATTGAACATGAATTTCATGAATACATTAGGTGTGTTAATATTGATTAATACTGAATAGTCGTATCTGAAAATGTGAAATTTCTCATTTTTATTCTAAGTTGTAATTCATACTAATGAATTAATAATAATTTTTTTTCCTTTTTTCTCGTTCGTGCATAGCTCTCTATGACTTAACTCATCTATTACAACTTGCTAATATTTATCAGGAAATTTAAATCGGCGTTTTATGTTATATCCAGAACGACAAAAACTTCATACAATATATTCACGCAGTAAATGAACAAAAATCATCACAAATTCAATTTGAATTCATGAATTTCATTAAATTTGATTTTCTTATGCTGAAGAGAGACTAGCGTTGACTGGAATTAACGCTAGTCTCTTCTTTAGCTTCTAGCATGAAAGCGTCCGGTAATGTCAAGTATTAAATTGTCTTGTAATAGATTAGTACACCTATTAGTATCGTATACAAAAATTTATGTCAATATGAAGTATTGAAACCTGTGCTAATATCAATTTTTAATACAATGAGCTGAAATAATAGTTTCATTAATATAAANTTGTAATATCTTTTGCAAAAGTAATAGAATATAGCCATAGGGCAATATCAGCAAGCTGTCTCTTATACACATCTAGATGTGTATAAGAGACAGGCTTACGCGTGCAATAAGTCGTTTGTGGGGCCAGCCTTCCTCCAATTCATTTGAAGACTTCATTCTGTCAAATATATATGCTCAGCTGTGCTTCCTGTCTACGTTTAATTCATCGAGACCAGACGCCTCGCCATCAAAAATACAAACGAATTTGTATTTCCGTCAGCCAATCGTTGACGACTTTTTAAGGCAAACCCACCAATCAATGATTATAGAACTCGGCTGCTACGTGTACTTAGGCCTCTACGTGTACTTATGTAATCGAGTTTTGCTAGTATGGTCCCAGGGTTATTCGTAGGCAGGATCTTACATCCCCATTGATTACCGACCGACGCTTGACTAGCGTGCTAATGCAGCAATGCATTCGTTTGTTGTGACAGGCCTTGAACGCACAGGAAAGGCTAATGAAATCAAGGCCATAGATAAAGCTTGTTTATTTTTTAATTTGTTTTTCTGCGAAAACATTATCTACATTGGAGAAATGAATGGGTTTATATGATGCTGAGCCCTAGTCTCAGCAGAACCTGAACCTTTCAAGAAATTCAAAAAATTCAAGAAATTCCCAGTATACAGGCCAGTACCTGTCGTCTACCGGCCAATCTACAGGCCAATCATAAAACCTGTATACGTACCTGTTGTCAAACACGTACCTGTTGTTGTTAGCCATGGTTACGGTGGTGGATACGGAGGTGGATACGGGAAAGGATACGGTAAAGGACGGTAAAGTTGGATAACCGAAGAAGATGAGTAAAGCAAGATATACTGAGTACCTATCGGAATGATCTTTATTAAGTATAATAACATCCGTTTCCAGCATGTATCAATGTTCAATGTTCTGCTTCGTGTTAGGTAATAAATTTACCATTTTTTGTCCGTATTTTCGGTGGCCAGTATATAGCTTGAGGTTACGAAAAGATTGAATAAAATTGTTCATCACCATTAATTGAGTTGAGCATCGATTACCATTAACTGTAAGTAACGCAATTATGATAGTCAAGCTGGCATTATTGTCAAGTAACGTTATGAGTTTTTCATTTGAACAAAGAATTGGCAGTTCAATTTGTTCTAAAAATTTGAGACTAGATTTAGATGGTTGGTTTTCAATTAGATTTTTTTAATGAAAACACGGTTGACGTTGTGCACACTTTTTCTTTAGGGCTACCATGTCAGTATAACTTCTGTGAAGTTTTTTCAGCGTCAAATGAAATTAAATATAAATATAGCATCATGTTTTTTCCATGGCATTGATTTGAAGTAAATTATAACATATTTCAATTTGTTAAATTTGATTGAGATACGGTGCAAGAATATGACACTTTATTATCTCATATATGATGGCATTCATTGCATAATTTTAGAACTCAGAATTGTTTAAGATACCAAATACTCAATAAAATAATTTGTGTTTCTAAATTTGTTTTGAACATCCTTTACTCTGCATGTCATGATTAAACGCTCACATTTTACCGCCTATTACGATTACTTACATAATATTTTAACAGCCCTTAAACGCACGAATCTAGTGTAAAGACGACGCTTAATTGTCGCTCATTGCGTTTATGTTTATCGCGACATAATATCGATGTAACATGTTTCGTCCTCTTTTGACTTGGTATGTATCATACTTGATGTGAGGAGTATTGCAGGTATGTAGCCTCATTATATAACATAGCCTTTATAGGCAAAAATCTAGTTTATATCATTTATTATGCACAGGTTATTTACAATTAAAAATTAAAATATTCTGAGGACGAACGTTCATTCATTTTTCGAGCTTTCATATGTATAATCAGCTGTAGTTCCTGTCTCGCTTTAGAAAATTATTTTACGTGAAAATTGTGTTAGATACCTTTGAATTTTTCGAATTTAATTTGTAATTTATGAACAAAACTCACATCTCAGTACGGGACGGGAATTTTAAGAATAATCTCGAGTTGAGAAGTCTGTATTATAGAAAAATGTACATAACATAAACAATTTGCAATTTTCGTTGAAATCCAATCTAACTCATATTACTTTGACGCGAACCAATAAAATTTTTATTTAATTTTTTAGTCATAACGTATCACTTAGCCCAATAAATAAATTGTAATTAATCCTGCAGCCACAAATTCTATTTCACTCGAATAATAAGTTGACATTTCCAATATTTTATGCAAGAAATTGGGTAATGCCGAGACTGACGATAGCTGAGGCCCTCATTATCGAAAACGAGTCTAACGCTATCAATTTGAAGTTAAAGCACCCCGAATTTTTCGAACGATGAAATTATTTTCAGAGTGATTTTAAATTTTGTTTTAAGCTGTATACACAATACCCTTTATATGTACTTACTGTCATTTCGAAATTTAAATTTCAAGAGTTGCAAAAAACTCTTCACCTGCTAGATAGTAAATATTGTATATTCGAAATTTCGCATTCTGTTAAAATGCCATTTGTTAACCTGCTTTTTGGGCTGTAAACGCGTGCAGGAATTTCGTTCGACTCATTGAGAAAACAGATAAGAAAATTATCAATAAAGAACATTCTCTGCTGTTAAAACAAACTTGAGTAAAAGATATGCTTCTGCCGAACTACACCAATAATAAAATTCTTTTACCTACCTTTACTAATAGCAGATTTATTTAGAATTAACAAGAAGATTTAAGATAATTTCGGATAAAGCGACATCTAAAATTCAATTGGTGTGAAAATGCAAAAACGTTTTGTCGGTTTTTAGCACATTTTCTCATTTATGGAAAAAAAGCGCTATTGTGCTCGTCATGTCTGTCCGTCCGTCCGTCCAGCCGTCCGTGACTTCACGGACGGACGGACGAGAAAATGCGCTCTCTGTCACTCAATGCAGTGAGTACTGATGTAATTTTCTTTATTTAGAACCTCAAATATTATCCACTTGTAAATTTGAATGAAGAAAGCCTGAAACTGTTGACGAAATAATCTGAAATTTTGCTTATTTGATGAAGTCTCATGTTAAATAGAGTCAGGAGAGATTAACTTACATGACGATTAACTTCACAAGGACTAAAAATTTTGGAATCATGTGTTTGTTTCGTTCAAACAAAATTCATCGTTAAGCTACAGACATGCCAATGCAAACTATTGGTCAAATTGAAAAGAAAACCATGGAAAGCCTAACGATGTGCCTTCCGTCGCACAATCCGCACCCCTATAGACACAAAAAATATAACTCAGTACTCACTGCAGTGAGTGACAGAGAGCGCATTTTCTTGTCAACGAAAACGGGAAGACACGGACGGATAGACAGACAGACGAACAGACAGACGGACGGACAGACATACGGACGAACAGGCAGACGGACAGACATACGGACGGACATTACGAGCAAAATAGGGCATTTTTTCCATAAATGAGAAAATGCGCAAAAAATAGACGAAATTCGCAAATCATCGTGTGGACGACGACGTCATTATTGTGTCAGCTTCGCGTAGCCTAAAATTATTAGTAGCCGGCTAACAGCGAGTAGCCAGTCATTATTCTCACTGTTGCGACCTGTTGCCAACTGGCAATCTTGTGAAATTAGGGCAATCTTTGTGTAC